GAGCTCGCGTGATTTTATTGCCCGTCGAGAGGTCTAGATGCCTTCTGTTTCTTTTGTGTGTTTATTAGTCAAATGCGCTCATTGAGAGTGCGTTCATACTTCCTGTCAGCGTTTGGAGCGCCTGTCAGCATTTTGAGCATCTGCCGGAGTTTTCAGCGACAATCGAGACATCTACTTAGTCTCTCAAAACTCTCACGGACAGTAAAACGCTTAAGATGCTAGCTGACGCTCGAAATGCTGGTAAACGCTCAAATCTCTGGCGGACGCGAAAACCACTGGATCGATGCCTGTACTTTCTTTGTCACTCAAAACAGTGCGCAAAGTATAAACGCTTTCTAATAATTTTTTTCATGTTTAGATACAAGAGTCTCCCGCATGCATCGCTATGCTTTGCTCTGTTTATCATCATATTCTCAAAAAAGAAGTAACGCCAGGACTTGCGGCTAGTTGGATTCGTCCTCGTCAACCAGTTCCTCTGTCTCAGGTTATTTTGTCATCGGTGACCTTGATTTTTCTATCGCAGAATCAGCTGTTGTGAAAGAATGGCTTTGCTTCAACTCCTGTGAAATTGTTGTTTGCAGCTGGTGATGCTTGTTGGTGGTCAAGCACCGAAAGCTATTTCAAACGTTGACACATTTGATCCTGATTCACAACGTTGGAGTTCATGTAAGTATGATTTAGCTGTTCAAAGTTCATCGCTAATAACCTTGGCGAAGGAGGGGGGGGGGCACTGTCAGTGCTTGTCAGCATAATTCCCACATACGTGTGAAGATAGGATAATCTTGTCAACACGCTGCAAACCTTGTCGTCATCTATCAAGCACCCAGGACACTTCTGTAAAACTCATCAAAATGGCTGTTCTGAATTTGGGGAGAAATGGGAAAATGGCCCAATGACGCCGGTTCGCCAGGCTTGACAGGAATTCCCAAAGTTCCTGACAGGAATGTACGGGATTAGGGTGAGGCTTGACAATGAAAATGCACAAGAAAGAACAAAGACTTATTTTGAAAATGTTTGGAGGTCTGACACCCTCCCCGCCTAGACTATTAGCGCCCGAAATTCTTCTCATGACATTCATCTTTCAGTAGCTTCCCTGCAACAACGTCGTTGTCGATGTGGAGTCGTCATAGCGGGAGATTTGGTTTATGCTATTGGTGGATTCAATGGAACAGCACGAATCCGATCGGTGGAAATTTATGATCCGCGCAGGTACGTTCTCACGGTCTTCGGAGCTGCAGCAGCGTTCAGATTTCGCCTCGATTTGCATCAACGCGCTAAAATTCCAAGAACGCTCCAAAGCTGTAGACGCGAACGCGGCCATAGACGGGGATCGATTCGCGCTGCCCGAGAAAGCATTGGATTCGAAGAGGCTACTTGCTGCCTTCGCGCGCATAGTACCCTCCCCCTTCTATACTTTTCTAGCGCACTAGGGGCCAGTGTCGATTGATACCAGCCTGCGTGATCAGACACCACTCTCCATACCCTCCTATTCCCCCATCGAAACCCAGTAGGCCTGCGCCGATTACTTTCCGTCTGTGGCTGCATTCGCGTCCCTTGCTTCATAGCGCTCTTGCAGCAGTGGCGCGTCGGCGCGCTTTACAACGCGCTGCAGCGCGCCGACGTGCATCGCGAACTCCGGACGCTGCCTTAACCGCACTGCCCCCTCCTTCCTCTTACCCGTACCAGTTGGTTCCTATTTAACCCTTCCTTGTTTATCAATGGTTTGCGCACGGAAAATCGCCGCTTGGATATGGTGAACCTGTTGAGCGTCGTGAGCATTTTAAACACCCCTCCTCCCACCTCCTGTTACGCAATTTTTGCATCGATTTCGATGCATGCTTTCTAAATTGATTTTTCCTGTGTTGGTCGCGCGTGTAGTCAAGTTGTTTTGATACTGTGTTTGTGATGTATTCATTCTAATGCACAGCCCGAACTCCCAAATGACTGGAAGGGAGTCGCAACAAAAACTTGGTTATGATCAATATGCTTAATAGCAAGACAATTCTCTAGTATATTTTGCACTAAATTTTTCATTCTAGAGATCTATGGCTGATTGGACCACCAATGGAAGCACGACGAAGCACATTGGGAGTTGCAGTCCTTGATGGATCCATTGTTGCAGTGGGCGGATTCGATGGATCAACTGGATTATGTAGCGCTGAAATGTTGGATCCTAGACAGGGTATGCCCTTCACTTATTGAATATCTCTTTTCTTTCTGCTACTTTCCGTGATTTTCTTGTTTTTTCTTTCCTTAGTTTCAAGATCTAACAGCACTGGAATGCAGCATAATAAGGCCTCATTACAAGAAGTCTCGCTGTGATAACGTTTGAAACGGTCTCATCTCTGGAGACGGCCCCTTCCTTGTTTAAAGGCAGCGCACGCGTTTAATTTGATGAGTTACGGGGCTCAAACAGTAACATTAAGGTAGGAAATTCAGTGGAAAAAAAATGCAAAAAATTATCGGATATGCCCTATATAGGACCCCACCGAGCTGAGGTTGTACGTGCTTAAGGCGAAGAGAAGGCGCGGCCGCACGAGTTCTCACTTGTTGGTATCAGCTGTTTTCCCTTATCACCTCACTCTCACCATTCGAAGTGGAGAGAGTTAGTAGCGGAACAACCGCACCATCAGGCAACCATTAGAAATGAAGTTGGGCGTAGCGGTCGCCAGGTGGGCGGGGTGGCCGACTCTTCACGAGCGGGCGCCGCTATTCTCTCGCATTTTTGAGTTGCGAAACTAGTACGTCCACCATCCTCATAGGGTGAGCTACGATATAACCCTCCTCTCCCGGCACCTACCTAACCAGTTTCCCCACACTTTCCAGTTTAACAACCCAGGAATTTCCGTCGAGGGCGGTGGGAACAACAAATGAACGCGGGCGCTGCCTTTAAGGTGAATTGGTTCGCAGCTGCAATAGCCGCCACTTTCTCCGCTCAAAAGTGCTTTGGAATGGGGCTTCAGGTTGTGATACCCGTTTGCTGTTTCCATACTTCGCTTGAGCTTTCGTCAATGTGCCGTACTTGCGTAGTTAACAAGGTCCTGCAGCGAAACACTCACCAAGCGGTACCGAACAACCAGAATTGAGAGGGCGCAGACAAGTAGCGCATTTGGCTTAGGTTCAGGTACCTGGCTGTGCGCAGCGCGAGCGGAGTATGGAGGCTGCAACTGGGTGCTATTACCCTTTCAGCCCCCTCCATGCACTTTTCAGCGCAGAAAAATACACACTACTGCTGCTACAGACCCATTCCATGAGTGTGCAAATTGTCTTGAAGTAGAGAGCAGTTCGAACAGTCAGTTCCTAATTACACTACAGGTCTACTGCTCCCCTTCCCCTACGCCCCCCCCACACCACCTTTCCACTCACTGGAAATTTCAGGAACTATCTGTTATAAATGCTTTGCATGAGGAGAAACGAGCAATGCATTTAGTCTCTTTACGGCCCTAAGGACCAGCAGTTTTCTACTATAAATCGTTCAGTGGTCTAGTGAAGATAAAGTCGCATCTTTCCCTTTCTCTTTCTCTTTATCTGTTACTTAACCATATGCTACGATACTTGGCGTGATGTTAAGAAGAGGTCCCGAAAACTTTATGGTCTGGTTGCGAGTGGAGTTTGTTTCCTGCTCCTCCATTTTATTCGATCCCTCAGGTTGTTTCTACAGATTGAAGATGAATGCAGTCCAGGCTTAATCTTTTTCAATGGAACTTCGGCGATGTACACGTCCCACCTATTCCTTCTTCATTCAGGTCAGTGGATGGCATTGCCTTCGATGACAACGCGGCGATCAAGCGTTGGAGTGGCTGCGATGAATGGAATCGTTTATGCTGTAGGAGGTTATGATGGCCAATCTAGGCAGTGCTTGAATACGGTGAGCGACAACAGTTTGAGTTTTGTGCCGGGTACTCTACGTGGTGTATTCCATGAAAAACCTTAGTGTTTGAGTTTCACATGTGGTGTAGTTAAATTTGACTTCACTCTTTCCTTTTGGGTAATTCGAAGTGGATTCCAGTGGGTCTGCGCACTTGTACTTGCTCGTCGCCCCGAATGGGGGTCGAATTTTGAAAAAAATATTCACCAGCGGCAGGACTTGCCACGATTCACACTCTCACTTGGGCCATCCAACGCTAGCCGTTCATCCTCCTTGGAACTCCCTCCCCTCTCGGGTTCACCGGCTGTATCTTTCAAAGGTCGGCCACTACTCTTTCTGCATGTGCTGTAATCTTTCGGACCATGGAAAAGAATTTAAGCAAGCCGTGTTTTCTTTGGAAAGATAATCTTTAGTGGTTCTTTCTAGGTTGAACTATACGATTCTCGCGCGAATCGCTGGAGATCGGGTGAACCGCTTCTCGAAGTGCGATCTGGCGCAGGAGTAGCTATTTATCGCGATCGTGTCATCACAGTCGGAGGCCACGATGGACCATTAGTCCGCAGCTCAGTCGAGGTAAAAATTCTAATACATGCCCAATAAAGTTTATTGCAAGCGGTCAACTTTTTCAAGATGCTGGGCGATGACGGCTGGATGCTCTTGCCGGAGATGTCAGTTTGTAGAAGAAATGCGGCCATTGTTGTTGCAAACGGTTGGTTTTTTTTTCAGCTAACTTCTAGTTTTCACTGGGTGTAGTGGGAGTTGAAGCAGGCCTAGCATTCCTGGCTGGTTGACTTGATCAGTTTTGGCATCAATTCAGGCGCAGTATTCCGGGGGGGGGAGGGCATTTTGCTCTTTTGCTACTTCCCATCGACGTGTCGAATCTAGACAGCCTCTTCTCGAGTTGACAGGTTTTAACATGATGGCTTGACGACCTTGTTCCAGCTTCACAAGAGTTCACAGGTTTCGCCAGAGTGAGACATGTAAACCGGAACTGAGGAAGCAATGATAGTACAAAATGCCCCCCCCCCAGTTGACATATCGACATACTGCGCCTCAATTCATATAGTCCATGACAGCCTGTGTCTTACTGTGTTCTATAGTTCATTTTACGGCTTCATATGAAGAACTGGACAACTGATGAAGTGCTTTCTTCTTCAAGCTCCAAAGATCACTGAAAGAGTAGACGTCACTTCATTATAGCTGTTTAACAACAAAACGGGAAACGCCGTGAAATAAATGCTGTAGAACACGGGTCGCAATGAGTTGATTAACAAGACGCTTAAGTTCCATGTCGATTCGACTACGTCTTGTTTCGGCGGATGAGGTGGGTGTCAGACGGGATCGGTTTGGCGCGATCCAAACTCGTTTTCCTTCTGTTGTTGGAGCGAGGAAATGAAAAGACTGTATCACATCGTTCGTATCAGTCAATTTTACCGGTGTTCGTCGCTTCAAAAGCGGTGGATAACGGACTTGGCACCGCGTCGAACTCATCTTGCCTGTCACATCCCTCCATCTGTAGCGTACAAGACTATAGCAAGAAGTGGTGGTTTCGCGCACGATGCCGCGCTCCAGGTGCCCTGAGTTGAACCTTTATTCACTTTTTTATTCTATTGTTATTCTTCCAGGCTTTGTGTTTGCTCTTGGTGGTGATGACGGCGCATGCAATCTTTCTTCAATGGAATGTTCTGGAAGTTGATGGCGCCGATCAATGTTGGAGTATTTTGCAGGCAAGGTTTTATGTAGCACGTAGAATATAGCGGTCGGGCAGCGTTCAGACTTCGCGACGACACGGGTTAACAACAGCGCCATTTCTATAGATTCGAACGCAGCCGCAGACAGGAATCGATCGGTGCCGGCCGTTTTTGTATTGAGAGAAGTATGGAGAAACGGGAGGGTCGCGTTACCTCATCGAGCAGTATCGTTCGGCAGTGGCCGTTCGTGCTTTGGGAAAGTACAGAAGAACGGGGAGTACCAGACCAGGTGTGAAGGCAGCGCCGACCATTCCGTTGTCCAATACTGTCTGAAAACGCAAACGACGGTCGACTACCATCTGCGGCTGCGTTCGTGTTCGCGTCATCGTGAAGTCTGAACGCTGCTCAAAATATATTATCACTCATCCATTCTACCCAATTAAGGATATGCTTTTGAAATTTCAGGCTGAGATGCCACAGGCACGATCCTACTGCGGGGTTACTCTCTTGCCAAAAACATAATGCTTGGCAACGATTGACAGGTTTTTGGTTCTGTTATGCTCTACTGACCCTATTGCTTTTCTCAGTCTCTTGCACCAGCTGTATCCTCCCCATCCTCGGATGGTTGTTTGAAGTGCTCTAGAAGAACGTGGACGCATTGGATTACTTCTGCTACCGTTGGTTATCAAATTAGCTTAGCAAGCGCCACTAAGGTACCCATTCGTCTCCACGTCGTTCTAGAGCTTCCCATTAGGTTCCAAGTTCTCGAAGAGCACGGCGCGCTGGATGCATTTTCTAGTAGAATTGGCTTGGCTTCTTTCTGAGAGCTAGGCTGCTGCTGTGCTAAAAAAATATAGGCATTGGAATATAACCGAAGGTGACTTTTTTTGAAAAATCCTTAGGTTCTATACCGTCCTGTTTTCGCTACCCTGTGGAAGAACTTGGCACTGTTTATTTTTACTGCTCCATTTGTCGAAGATTTATGCTGATTTTTGTGGTAATTTGACCCAAGTGTTGATTTTTATTTTCTCCTCTTGTCCAGTTCGCACCTCTGCACATGAATATCGCATAAATCGGCTCATTCTCGTAAATAGCTAGCATCCACTTTACGGCCACCAGCGGCTGGGGTCCGCACTGAAGGCAGCACCTGTCGCGTACATGCGAGATGTTTTTCTATCAAGCCAATTCGATAATTGTATTTAGAGGGTCAAATTACACTTGAGAACTGGTTCTCAGCCAACTACTTCCTGGGACAAATTAAGATGTAATTATAGCATGAACTTCGAAAACTGCGCAGCAAAAGGTAAACAGTGCCAAAGTTTTCTCTGGGTTTTAGGCAGACTGAAAGCTTACGAGTGCTTGTTGTACAGGATCACTATCTTTGCACTGTTATAGCATGACAGTTGTTCTCACTTTATGCCGTTAGAAACTTATTGGCAGTAGCCATGACTTATATACGACCCTATCTGGCATTTATGTACATATTTAATGCTCTTTAATTTCGTTTTTGCACTTATCATTTCCGTTCTAGCATCGATTTTTTTGGCGCTATTCGCCTTAGAAGTGAGCTTCAGCAGCCTGGTTGCGCGAGACTGTGATTACGGTATTACGTTTTATCCGAAGAAGTCGATTTACTCACCCAGAGGCTCATTCCCTCCCTAAGGCGGACAGCGCCTAACTTTTTAATCTTCTACTGGTAGTCTTATTATGCTTGCAAGCTGCGATTGTACACAATTATCTCTTATTTTTTTGTAGTTACTGAATTTCTGAGCCCTCTGTGATCTCGCATAGTAGTCAATCTTTGTTTGCTTACTCAATAAAACTGTAAAATTCGTTTTGTATAGTATTGTATTTTGGTGTTACTAGTCGCGATATTATTTACTTGTGCTTTGCTGAATTGTGGGTCTGGACTCCCGGTTGCGGTGACGCGCGGAAAGCGATGGACTTTTTAGCTAGTTGACTTGGATCATTTAGGTACTGGCGCGCATGCCGCGTACGTGGCGCCGCTCGGGTATACGACACGACAATCGTAGTCTGGTGGGCGTGTCCAGCGATGTCGCCTGCCGCGTGCGGCATTTCGGTAGTTCGCAGCCGCATTTGAAATCAGTATTGTTCAGTGCGGATGAAGAGGGGTGTCAGGCGAAAGAGTTTGACATGGTGCCATTATCCACCAGTTGCTAAAGCAGCTACGCAACAACAGCTGTAGGGAAAGGGTTTGTGCCCCGCGTCAAACCGCATTCTCTGCGCCACGTCTCCTGCATCCTGCACGAAAAAAGATGTAAGCGATGTTTCTGAATATTCTTACGCCAAAAGATACCAAAAGAAAAATCGAATTTTTCTGCGAGGGAGGTTTCGGGAACATTTTGCTCTAACTGCCATGCCCACTGCAGCACGATGCGCCGCGCGCGACAGTGCGGCAAGCTACGATTGTCTTGGCCATCTCGCGCGGCGCTCACAGAGCTCTCTCCCTTTGGCCGCAACTGGGAGGTCCTGCTGTGTAACTCTTTGATGAATGTGATATAAAGCTACTTCATAGGGACCACGATTCTCGCAACAACGTGGATGAGGGTGCTATCTGTGGTCGCAAGCTATATTGACAGGGAAAAATGAATGTGGTAATAAAACAAGAGGTCGTATCGGATGACGAGGAACTCGTCGAAGATGATCCTTGTCATGGAACTGTCGAAATTCTTGAATATGAGCAAAGGCTACTGCTCTCTACTATGGACGAGGATGTCATTTTCATCCATGCAAGGTAATTGTAAGTTACACTCACAGACTCTTATAGTTCTTGAGGCTAGTCTGTGGTTATGTTACTTCGGGATAAGGTTTCTGGTTCCGCTCCTCGTATTGTGAAACTTTCCCTACTCTCCCTACCTCTCGCCTCTTTCACAGACCCCGCCACCTGCTGGAGCTGGACATTCCAGTGGAAGTTGAATGGAATCCTTTCTGAAGCTGAGTAGTAAGACACCTATCGAACTAGGAAACGGAGTTATGGGACTTTGGCACTCCTCCTCTACTACTTATCACCTTTGAGATGCCGAATAGTGGCAAACGAACCATTATTACCTTCATTTTGGGCTTACTCTGTCCAGAGGTGCTATGTAGCTGAGGAAAACAGCGAGGCGGTGAGACCAAGTCCAGTTCTCTACCTCGAGATGAACCACTGCGGGCTATGGTCAGTGCGCTCTTACGGTTAAGCGAAGGACATAATCAGTCTTGCTGTTGACGCTGGGCCAGCCGTTTTCTAGCGATTGCTGTCGCCTACCTGCTTCAGTGATTGGTGAAGAACGGACTGGCCTAGCGTCAAACTCAGCCCCCTGACACGTCTTAGCGCAAAAAGGCAGCATATCGTGCTGGCTTCTCCCAACTACCCTCTCATCCAGTGACGCCCAAATATCAGCTCGTAGCAGTACTCATTTGATTCCTTCGCTTTTTCGAACTATGAGTTTTTATTAGAC